ACGCGGACATGAAATGGGTCGCTTGCGTTGGGCGCACAGCCGACCCAAAAAGAAAACAGGGCGGACGCCGAGCGGGCGATTGACCCAAACGGACGAAAGGCGGACAAAATCGCCGTGCGTTTGGGTCGGCGCGTTGGAGTTGCTCTAAGTGCTTGTAGTCCCCGCTAGGTGGACTACGAACATGGATGCATTTTTTATTTTTGATGTTTTTATACTACTTTGACGGTTGATGAACAGATTAAAAAAAATTCATCGAAAAAAATTCAATAAAAGAAAACGAGCTATCAACATGACATTTTTTTTACACCATGTATCTTGTTATGGAGTACTAATTAATTTTGTATGTAATTTGGGAGCGAATAAATGCCATAATCTTGTGCCTGGAAAAAAAGACATAAAGTTGGTATGGAGTATTACAAATTAATTTTGTCTGTAATTAATTTTGGGATCAGATAATATGTCATAATGTTATTATGGAAAACTAATTAATTTTGTATGGTTATTTTTAGGAGGAAATAAATGCCCTAACTGTGTTATGGAATGCTAATAAATTGCTTATGGTTATCTTTGTAGTCCAACAGGATATTCCATGATGTACGTATTATCTTGAGGATCCTAATTAATTACGGCGAATTGTAAATAGGAAACACGCCAAAGCAGGAACGAATTAAACCGCAAAAATTGATACTCCAGGAACCGGCCGTGCCTCTATATAAACAGCAGAAGGAACCAGCTAAGTAGTACATGTCTACAACAACCACAACCAAAAGGACATAGGAGAAGAGAACAGTAAACAATTTCGTAATGGCTCTAATCCGGATCAACTCCAGTGTTCATTTCTTGATGGCACTTATGATGATTTCAAGCACTTTATTGTCGAGTGAAGCATCAGGGAGGAACATAGGTACATTTCTATTTACTATAGCTTATCAACTGGGTTAAGTACTATATAGGAATTTGTGGTTTTTTGGAGCTAGATAAAAATTTGATGCTATTGCATAATTGTCCGTTGCCAATGATATGAATGTTTCTTATAAGGTTATTAGGCACTAGTATTATGAAGTTTGATCATTCAAGTTAAGATATGCAAGTATTTTTTGCAAGAGAAAAGAAGAAATAAGATCATGTAGAAAAGTGTTTCAACCGTACTTATTTGAGTGAGGTGTTTAATTAGGATAGGCAAGTATCTTTTTCCTCATCCTCGAGAATTTATTTTTTCCCTCAAACTGCAAACTTGAGCGGCCGCGCTCATCCCCTTATATGAAAGTTATTACGCTTCGTAGTACTTAAAATCTAGTGTTATTTAACAATGCGGAACTGCTCCACAGACGACAAGTGCAACCGATTTTCGCACGACCATGAAATCGAGCGGCTGTTGCCCTTTAAGTCGACTACATGTGCGGCTGGATTTACATCGTCGTGCATGAATCGTCCGTCTGTTGTCGTCCGTATAGCATGATTCTTTAACAATGGCATGAAAGACAAGAGGTATATTCCTTTTGATTTTATGACCACCATTACAATTCTGTCGTGGTACGTATGGTTTTCCATTGTACGTCATAATTAGATACCAGTCACTTGCAATGATATAAAAGATATCAACAGCTGTTCTTCCTGTGTTTGTATTAGCACTCCATTGCTGCCCTACTATTTGCATAGTACATAGATTTCATAGAATCCGAGTTTTTTTTTTAATTTTTACGAACTGCAACAAGTTCTGATGTTACCTTTTATTTTTCTATTGTCGTAGGCATGGAAGCTAACATTGGCGTTGAGGGGCGCCGTGAACCTTACACTCCTTGTTCAGATCCTTCATTTTGTAATGACATCTGCAAGCGAGATGGTAAGGGAGGTGGGACCTGTAGTGGCGGTGCCTGCTACTGCAACAGAGATTTGTAGCAAGAAAATGACTAAGAATAAAGTTTGGGAATAAAGATTCACTTGGGAGCATTAAGAATTGTTTTTCTACCTGGAATAATTTGAATCCAAGTTCTTTATTATCCTATACTGTTTATACCCGTATCATGCCCTTCTTTAACACGGTGTAATTGTGGATGCTCACAAACACGTACATATACTCACTGTAGTGGGATGTATTTAAAAAAAAACTAGTCTACCACCGAAGTTCAATACTGTGATAGAACGGTTTTTCATCAAACTCTCGAACAACACACCAGATAGTGCCAAATCTGTTAAGTGCTAAACATAACCATACCTTTTGCAGAACTTGATGTATGGACTTGAATAGTTCTGTCGCAAACAATCATCTCTGATGTATGAACTTGATGTATGACTTATTGGCTATTGGGACCAAATAGATTCACTTGTTCTTGCACACAAAATAACGGGACCCCCCACTTCTTCCAAACCACCGATGCGAAATCCTGATCGACGTTGAAGTTGAGATCGGCCAAAGCCATGACATTGTCGTTGTTGGAGACCGTGAGATGATGATGCATGGACAACGGGACCGGAGTGGCCACCGGAGTGGTGCGTGGACGCCGGGGCCGGGGTGGCCACCGGCGGGCTAGGAGCCTTTGAGTTGGACTATTCGCATGGGCCAGTAACAGATTGGCTGTTACAAAATGATTTTAGTGCTATGCTAATTGTGCTATTATAAACTGTGCAGAACAACTCCACTTACTTAAGACAAATCTTTACTATAAAAAATACGTCAACTTTTGTTCCCCATATTTGTATCAGTTTTCTAATCTCCAAGGTTTTCTATTTAAAATGGTTTTCATTTGGACGGACAAATTATATCTATCTTAGTGACCTAATATTTTGTAACACAAAAATTCATGAGAAGGAATCAATGATGGCCGATAATCTCTTCCTATGTACAATACGGAAGGTTCATTGCTTCACTCCTGCTGCATTCGTTTGTCCTTTGTTTGACACTCAGCCCACGACGAATGAACTGCAAAAAGTGCGTACATTTTTGTCTAATAGAGCAAACACTGATACCTTAATTTGGTCGGTAAAGATATAATTTGTTCAACTCTGATTGCTCAAGGCATCTATTTTTTACTTGAGGAACAATCCAATACCATTTCATTCAATTTTTACTCAAATACTGAAGGATATTCCATTGATAATGCTAAAAGGGTTGGAGGGGATACATATTTGTTGTTCTGGTCCATTAAGGTTTAGGGAAATAGCTAGAACTAAATGCGGAAATTACTACTGCCAGTCACACTCCCCATCTGCTTTTTACTGGAAAAGGTTCATGAAAACCACCCCTTCCTTGCACCTATCCATTAATCACGTCTCCATTAATCATGCAGCGCTCCAACGACATGACGGTCCTCGACCTCCAAATCAAGTCCCTCTTTGCCTAAGCATCGCACATCAAAGAAGCCCATGCGTGATGCTCACCGTTTGTCCTATCACTCCCGTTCAAATGCGCCACTTTCCACATGCCGACCTTGAATATATTTTGAGGGAGTTTAAAATACCGATTTCACACAAATCACATATTTTATCATAACATATTCCACTCATTTATAAAAAGATATCATAATGACATTTCATCATTTTTAAACAGATTCCACACATTGTAAAATATATTCCACTCATTTCATATACTCATTTAACTATTTTCAAAAAATATTTTGTAATAACAAATTCCACTCATTTCAAAAAAGATTTTCTAATAACATATTCCACTCATTTCAAATCAGATTTCACAGATTTTAAAACATATTTCACTCATTTCATTTAACACATTTCACTCATTTCAAAAAAGATTTTATAACATATTCCACTCATTTCAAGAAAGATATCATAATTAACATATTTCACACATTTTAAAACAGATTATATACTGTTAACGCGCAAAACGACTTTGTGGCGTCGATGGGCAATGAAACAACGATCGATTGACAGCCATGTTTACTGACCATCTAGAGGAAATCATGCGCCGGCCGGCCGTATGGAACTTCGGTTCCAGCAGAACGTACTTTCGAACGATGGCAACGGTGATCACAATCTTCACTGATAACTTGACTCGAAACATTGCGCAGAAATGATGAATAATAACAGCATCCGACCGCAGCATAACACTGGACACTTCTTTTATTTATCCCATTCTTTACTAAGCTAGTAGCTAGTACTATAGTTTAGGACGTCACGCAGCGAAACAGGCATTCTCGGTGCAGTGCCTATTCCTCGACAATTTCCATGTCTGCGAGGTCAGCCGACATGAACTCGCCCTCAGTCGTGAACACGACGCCCGCAGCTTTGACGATCTTCTTCTGCGGAATCCGGCCGATCTTGCGCAGGTCGTCGTCGGTGAGCCCCCAGTCGAATACCTCAAGGTTCTCCTCAAGTCTCTGCTTGCTGAAGCTCTTGACGATTGGGGTCACTCCTTGCTCGTAGATCCACCTCAGTGCCACCTGAATGAATGAAAAGAAAGAGGAATCGGTTAGTGTGGCGCATACGGACTGCATGCGTGTTCCTAGCCTGCAGTTGCCAGGAGAAACGTGGCGCGCGCGCACCTGTGCGATGGTCTTTCCTCTGGCCATGGCGATCTCCGCAAGCACCTCGGAGTCCAGCACGGCGTTTCCGGCGCCCAACCAGTTCTGCCCTCCCAACGGCGAGTAGGCCGCGACGTGGATGCCCTTCTCCGCGCAGTACTCCCTCAGCTTCCTCTGCTGCCAGGCCGGGTTCATCTCCACCTGCATGCAGATCACACCCACCGCTGAGTTCCCAAAATATTTAGAACAGTACTCGGTAATATATCTCGTAGTACTCATGTTCGGCGACCTGGTTCACTGCAGGAGGGACAGTGGCAGCCGCCATGAGCTTGTCCAGGTGCCTGGTGGTGAAGTTGCTGACGCCGATGGCCTTGGCGAGCCCGAGGCGGTGGCACTCCTCCATCGCCCGCCACACGCCGTCGAGGTCCAACGGCACGGCGTCGTCCCTCCTGACCGGGAACACCGCTGGTCCGGGCTTCAGGCTGATCGGCCAGTGGATCAGGTACAGCCGTACAGGTCCACTTACTCCATCTGCAGCTTCCTGAAGAATGAAACATACTCCCTTCGTTCAAAAAAGCTTGTCCCTCAAATGGATGTATCTAGCACCAAGTTAGTGCTAGATATGTCCATTTGAGAAACAAGGTTGGGACAAATTTTTTCGGACGGAGAGAGTACATCGAGATGATCAACATCTGTAGAAAGTAACGCGTGGCTATCTCGACCGAACTTACTGGAGGCTTTCCCGGAGGGATGGGAGCACGAGGTGCGGGTGGCACTGCGTGCACCAGAGCTTGGACGTGACGAACACCTCCTCCCAGCACGCCACGAGCCTGCGGCGCACCGCCTCCGCGAGGGCCTCGCCCAGGGGCCGCTCCGTCGCGTACACGGTGGCCGTGTCGAAGTGACGGTAGCCGACCTCCACGGCCTCCAGCACGGCCTTCACGGTGGTCCGCGGCACCAATGGGAACTTGGCGGTTCCCATGCCGATCGCTGGCATGGGCCTCGCGTTGCCGGACCGCAGCGGCACCTCCGGCACCGCCCTTGTCGAGGCCATGCGTGCGTCGTCTCTGCAGAACTTGAGCTTTGTCTTTTGGTCGAAGTACAGAGAGGTGTGTGACGAACTGAGGATCGACCGGCTTTATACTGGCCGAACTGACGATCGACCGGCTCACATTTCTATCTCATAGCCAAGATCCGCCTCAGTTGTTGACTCGCTGTCGCCCTCGCCACAAGAAGTTTGGCTGGCCTGTCGAACAAACAAGAGCAACCGAAGTGGCTGTGGCCAAAGCCGCCAAGTTCATATGTGACACCGTCAGTGACAACTACTGCAGGGGCTAAACAATTAAGGAAAATTGTATCGCGCGAGTAATTGTCATGCCGTACTCCGGCCTTGTGTAACTCTATAAAACTCTATTCTCCTCTATTTTGATAGATGAGGCAAATCTTTTGCCTCCGTTTCGAAAAAAAACACCGTCAGTGACAACTGACGGCTATCCACCAGCACTGTAGGAATCTCATCAGGATAATCCCAGTTGATGATGCTGAGCAGGACCCATCCAGGTATAGCTCTCAAAAAATCTTTGTAACAAAGAAGTTACACAGATTTTTCTCGAAAGAAAGTTACAGATTTTTAACTCGGAGTGTTTTGACGGCGCATGCGTCTTATAATGCAGTCAGGCCCGTCTCCAGGAATTCAGGGTCCCGGTGCGAAAAGAAAAATGGGGCCCTACTATTTGTAAAAAAAACATAATATAACTCAAGCATAATCACTTTATTACATTAGTGCAGAATTGGTCATTAGTCCAACCGAAACTAAAGGGTGGGGACTAAAGCCCCCCCCCCCCTAGTCTGGGTTCGTCACGATCCGGGACCAAAAATCCGCCATGTGGCACGAGCCCACGTCGGGGGCTGGGGACCTTTAGTCCTGGTTGGTGACACCAACTGGGATTAGAGATTTAGGGTTTTAGGATTTATGATTTATGCTTTATTTTTTCTTTTTGTTTTGTGTTTTTCATTTCAAACATATATAATAGAATATGTCGTACGACCAATCATATTTTACGCTACTCCAGTCATCAAGAAATTTTACAATCAACAAAATCCTGAGCAAAACTTTTCTCCAATGTTCCTTTCTTTTTCAAGTTCTCACTGAGCAACTTTATCAATTGTTTGATTCTTCTGGAACCTAAGACGGTAGTCATACCATGCAGTTATATTTGTGATATGCTCTCTACTTGATTCATGCTCTTTTAGTCTAGCCCCAAGATGAATCCAGATACTTAAACCATCATTTGCTAGCTGGCCTCTCACAAGCCCCCTTTTTAATAACTTGCAACAAAAACAAAATACTTTGTTAAGGTCGCTACTATATACAAGCCACTCTCTGTATTTGAGAGAATTCTGTTAAATGATAATGCAGAAAACCTTCTAGAGAACTTGTCATACAGACCATGCTCAATATCTTCTCTTTTAAGACCCTTTTGCAGCAAAATATCAATCTTTTTAGGATCAAGGCCATCCCAATTTCTAGGATAAAAAATATCAGGATGAACAGAATTATCCATGTCATCGGAAATATTAGGACCATGATCTTCATCAGCAATATTGGTATCATTACCTTCACCAATTTCCGTCGCGGGAGCCTCGACCTCTTCTGCATTATCACTATGAGCATCATCACCTTCATGAATTTCTGTAGCGGGAACCTCAGCCTCTTCTGCAATATTACCATGACCATCATCAATATTAGCTTCTGGTGTTTGATTTTCAGAATTAGTTCGGGGTCTTTTCACAACAAATTTATCAATGGCACCCTTTTGAGATTCAGCATCCTCTTCTAATTTTAATTTCTTCTTACGCTTGAAAGCACCGGAATCATAGTTTCTTTTAGAACTAGAATGCATGATTGTTCTGTTTATGAACCAAACAAAAAATAATATCAATGAATTTAAACTGATAAACTCCATGAATTATAGGCTTGTAACTTGTATAGACAGTTATAAAGAAAAAGGTAGAACCTTGATTTTGGATTTGGACAAGCGACTATTGAATATCTCGAATCCGTGACAACTTCCGAACTTCAACAACTAGACAAAAAAATCTTCTAAAACATATTAGTAATTAGTAAACTGTTGTACAAGTTTGCAAGTTATTTTGTATCAGAAATAGCTAGAGAAAAAGGGAGTGTAGGGCACCGCACCGGTTGGCCTTCTCTTCGGCGGCACCTCGGCAGCGTGGCCGGCGGCCGGCAGGGCGGCGTCCGGCACCGCGGCAGCTCTGCTGCTTTCGCTGGCTGCAGAAGCGATCGCCGATTCAGTCGAAGCGAAAAGATGGGAAGGGAATTAATGAAGGGATTAGGCAGGGAAGGAAACGACGGAAGTCACAGAACCTACATGCTTTGCTGTTGCCGTTTCATATATCGATCAGATAGATCCAGGAGAGATAGACCAAGCCCAAAAGGGAGTGCTTGTTGGCCCAAAACTACTTTTTCAGACTAATACATATAGTATATGGACTCTATTTGGGGGCCCCTGAATTTTGGGGGCCCTGTGCGAGCGCACAGTTCGCACATGCCCTTCAATGGCCCTGAATGCAGTTTTGTCAAATCTTAGTCGACTGAAACTTGGTTATGTCTCGGTCGATGTTATATTCGTGAGATCTTGCATGGAGATTCGTGCAAAAAAAATTATTTTTTTTCTTTCATATATGTTATGTCACTTGATTGAGTCTTTGTTAAGTCTCTGAGACCCAGCCACACCCTTTATAATAATAAATGTTAAGCGAGGACTCGTTTGAAAAGTACTATACATGTCAAAGTTATTTCGATTAAATCCCTCGATAGGGTATCTGACCAGATGAGTAGAACCCTCGTGGAAGGGGTAATACCCTACTTTTGCTCGTGTTTATTATTGATGTATAGGGGTTACAAAGATCGAGGGATTGAGCAATAGCTCTAAGGTTTTGTCCCTAATCATCTAGCTCAACACCAGCTTAATTATATGTATGGGTGTCGGGGCCTAGGGTTACACAATCTTAGTCGGTTTGGAGAAACTCCTCATGGACGTCGCTTGCCTTGTCATGTACCAAGCTTTCTGTATCGTCTCGTAGTTGGGTCCTGAGCCGGCTTGACAACCCAGGGCCATAACTGACCTAAGGGCCCCGGGCTGGCCTACTCAAGCCGGCTTCTGGTATGACGAGGCACCCCTAGGCCGGAATACCGTCAGTAGCTCCTGGTCTGGTCTTCGAATCCGTCTGCGTCATGATCGGGGTCGATAGGTAGTCGTAGACCTCAATCAACTCGTTGGAATCGAAACCGATTCACCTACTCCCTTAGTGTGCAATTGTTGATGTAGTCAGGCGGCCTTCGTGGGAGGTTGTCGAGTGATACTGAGCAACACAGGCTAATTCCCGTGCCACTCTTGTGAAATTTCAAAGTCACAGAGCCCTGGTCACGAGGGGATATGACCTGGCTCTGGCTCATCTGGTCGAACCGGACCACCTTATTATTTATCTGTTTAGTTGAGATAAAACTACAACCGAGTACTCCTTTTATCTCTAGTTTTTCTTGCATATCAGGATTTCTCAAACCTTGCGCTGCAATCTTTCGTGTTGCATGCAATTGTGGGATAAGCCCCCACATTATAAATAGATGCAATGTGGCACCCTATGGGTCTGAGACGCTTACTGAATTCCTACAACCCCATGGTGGCTCTTGGCGGTCCCGACAGTCTTTGTCCATACTGTCCGTCTGATCACTGGCGAAGAATTGGGCTACCGGATGGCCCCCTTACTGAGCTATTGGCAGCATTGGTGACCTTGTTGATATTGGCGGTCGTGTCGTGATCTACTCCTCGTTTACGCGGTAGGTCTGGTTGCATGACGATATCCCCGTCAGGGTTGTGAGCGTGTACGGATGTCAAAGCATGACAATCTTGTTTGCATTGGTGACTTCATTAAAAGTGAGGGCGACAGTAGATGGTAACTTAAGTTGGGTGGTACTTATGAGCACAGATTCTCGAGCTATGGAGTAAAAACTCTAGGTCTAACTTGCATTGATTGTACGTCGACACCGTGTTTTGGATTTAATCATACTTCGTCAGGTTTTCAGTTAAGTTGTTGATGGAGTTATCACCTCAGGGCGTTCGTGGGCTTGGGCATGACACTACGCCACTTTGGCACCATGGACGGCAGGCCAAGCTACGCCATTGCTTCGATCAACGGACGATTGCGGTATCTTTTTCCGGGAACAACTGGTGTCCCTTCAACTAATCTATTTCGAGGGTATGGAAAGGTGCCTAGCACTCCCTCCATTCACAAATAACTAAGGTTCTAGAATTGTCCCAAAGTCAAAACTTCATCGAGTTTAACCAGATCTACATAACAATATGTCAACATCTAGAAAACCAAAACTATTTCGTTAATTATGAAATACATTTTCATATTATTCGATATCATACCTTTGCGGGGTTGTCTATGGGCTTGGTCAAACTTAAAGAAGTTTGACTTATGAATATCTTACAACTTCAATTATTTTGGAATGAACGGAGTGCATACTAGTCGACCGATTCAGCAAACATAGCTCCTCAATCGGTGCTGCGCATACAGCTTCGTGACTAGTTAATCTAATTAATATTAGTCGACTACTAGTTCTTTGATGTGCACGAATTAGAAATTATAAAGGGTATAACAAAGTTCATGTCAAACTCAAATTGAGTAGGCGATATACGTCTACAGCATGATGACCGAAAAGACAATATAAAGTAACAACTAACAAGGAGCTAGCTAGTTTTGCAAACGATAAACATTGAGAAAATAAAACTTCCAGTGACATCTTCTCATATTTAGGGCTCCAGATTAGTGGATGGCTGGAGGAGGCTCGGGGCTAGGCTAGCTTAGGCAACACCTCTACTGCTTTCAAGGGAGAAGCGCACTGCTGAGTGCTTCACGCGTCTCGAATGCAGCTCTGATGATCTTCAGAACCTGTTGAGGCAGCACAAGTAAACCAGTGAGAACTGCTTTGTTCAGAACTACTAATATATGCTCCACTCTCTCCGT